GGAGGCACTTGCACCAGCAGTGGCGTGAGCAAGTAATTGCAGGGCTGCATCTTTAACTCTCACCTTAACCAACATAGCCATCCATATCTTCTGATAGCACTAGTTTTGTACATGGCCAGAAATCGCCAAGTTTGATTCCCATGTCACTGGGAATTTATTTGTTGGGTCACCGCTACACATACTAACAAATACAAAGATCCCTCTGTAGAGCCTGCAACAGGCTATGAAGGCCGGAACGGTGCACGAGGGGGTCGGTGGCCAGCACCACGCCCGACCGCCTTTGTCTCCCAAGTGGCGATGTTTATACACCGCAACAAGTACTAATTTGAGGCTGAATCGACCGAGGGGAGGCCCAGGACCAGTTCAGATAATCGTCGCTGGTGCTGGCTGTGAGCGCTAACCGCTACAATACCGCTCCCCACACATACTACCACACACACACACGCGCACACACTCTTCCTCACCAGTTGCAGATAAAATGGGAACTTTTTTCATTATTATTTTTTACGATCTTCCTCTCAGCCACAAACCAATCTTGAGCCATCTGCTCGTGGCTGCCATGCAGGGTCCCAATACCAAGAAAGTATTGCTTGGCAGATACATTCGTAAAGAACACGGCTCGCAGCGAAACATATTTTGCTCTCAAAGATACCGTAACCTTGTGGGTCCAGAAAGTGAGCGCTGCGTTAAAGTGGCCCTAGGGAATAAGTGATGAAGCTTGTACTTCATGCTGAGTAAGATGGTGTGTTCAGCAAGATGTCCAAAAGCACGCTTAACCTTGAAAATTATTTTCTTCAAAGTTGGTGTCATGAGTTAATTTGCTCATTTTGGCACTCCTAGATAAATGCTTTGACGCCAGGATTTAGATGCTTTAAAAATGTTTTGGATACTTCGAGGGTCAAGCAAATTTGGCATAGCTTACGGAACATATGTCGATTTTGTTTTGTCCAAGAAAATGATCTGTGTTGCATCGCTGCTCATATTTAAGTGTGTGAATTGCTGTGTCGGGTGGTGGTGGGTTTAACGACACATTTACATTTACACGATCTAACCCCCCAAAAAAAACCTCTACGATGGATGAATTGCATGTTGGAGGGATGATGTAATGTCTGGCCAATTTGGCATTGTGCAGCAAAAATGGTACCTTGCAAAGCCAAAAAGCTTTAGCCACACGCACGAATAGTCCCATTAGAGTGATTTCAACAGCTGATCATGCTATAGTTGCACTCAGTGCAAGCTTCTGGCGTTATGTTTGATACATTCAGAGGTATATGTTCACATAGGTATATATATATATCACAGCTGGCAGGAATTTCACTATAACTTCGAAATCTATTGCAACGGCTCGTAAGTTGCCGTTGTTCAAAAAGGAAAATAGGCAAATGTTGAGACTGCAAAAGTCGCAGGGCAACATAATGTGTAAATGTGACCAAGAAATGACAGTGGTGGCTCCTGAAGTATAAATAGAAAGAAACACCGAGTACAAGGATGGAAGGCAAGGGCATTGCACCGGTGGGCTGAGACGTTTTAAATATTATTTGAAAAAATATATAATGCAATGCTATTGCATGTCGTAAGGTAAGGAATATACTAATAATTCGACCAGGTGAATAATAAATCGTGTTCTAGTAAAAAAAAAAGTCCAAGCTAAGTAATGTTTTACAGTTATGTCTGCGCACTAAAATGTTACGCGTCTGAAGGGGCCTGCGTCTAATAATGAATTGCTGAGGTGAAATTTGATCCACCAGCGCATGCGTTTATGTCAGCAAACTTGCCACTTGACCAAGTTAATTAATCTCATCGGGTTCTTGGCTGGCTAAATAAAAGACAATGTGTATTTCAATATCAAGTAGATAACTTCTGCTTAGGCTGACAAGAAAGTGGGTGACACTTGTCCGAATGATCTCTTGCTCCTTCAGGCTTAGGGTACACATTGAGACAAGCCATCTGGTGGGTGTCAGAGGGCATATTGCAGTGGGTGCAGGGTGAGAGGTGGATGGGAAGGATGAACAGAATGATAAGTATTCTCTTGCCTCTGTCCTTGTCTGTGCGGGAAAACAACACCGAGATTGGAAAACAACACGTTTGCCGGAATTTAACCTCTACTGATTTTCTTCAGGGTGAAAATAATTGGCAATGTTGAAACGATTAAACATTGCTTTGGTCGTGCTTTCACGAAGACGTAATGGTCGTCAGGCGTAGATCATTTCCAAGGATAATGCTTACATCTCACTCGTGTTTTATTTCATCGTTCTTGGTCACAGAAAACACCCCATGTGGGTTTTCACTGTGGGGACATCCTGACGCTTTTAGGTCAAATGTTTGTTTTCTTTGCGTTTGCTTTTGTTGTTGCTTGGGGAGTGAAACGGTTATTATTCTTTAAAATAATACAAAAAAAATGCGGCACGTTTGGTAATAAGCACACGGTTACGATCTCAAAATATTCCACTAAGTCAGACTTGAAGTGCGTGAAATTGCAAACGTAGGTGATAATTTCGTTCAGGCAGTAAAACAACACAACATGCATTCCATACCAGATTAACGTTCCGATGCTATCATAGTACATTCATTAAGCATACTACGATAAGTATAGCTTTACATTAAATTATAAATAATGAACTTTCAAGAAATTCTACACATTACTCAACAACTTAACTATCTGGTTTCTGCAACTTACCTATTTTATGTATTGTCCCTTCTGGATCTTGAATGCAGGTGCATGCGTATAACCTTCATAATTTCATGAATGTATAGCGGAAGCAACTTGGGAGTTCAAAGTCGACGAAAGAAGGTATTGCAGATGTGATAAAGAAAGTCAAAGTGATTTCCTGCTCATATGAACATTGAGGCAGTGCTCACGTCCTGTTCACAGCCCTGAGGCAGTGGTGGGAACTTCACATTCCTATGGTGGGGGGCGAGTCCATCCATAGGACAACCACCGTTCCCCACAAAGTGGTATACGAATTTATCAACCCCATATTATGGACTGAACACTTACGGGGCAGAACAATTTCAATTAGGAAATGGAGGACGCAATGAGTGGAACATGTGTGCAGGATGGAGGACAGCAGGTTACTGACACGGGTTTTGGAGTGGGTAACTAGCATATCAGCAGCCAAGGAGAAGACCTGGAGCCACATTCTGGCGATGAACCCATAGGAGTGGACCTTGGAGGTCTGTCTGATGTCCACTTTACAATGGCTACAGTATCAAGTAGAAAGTGGAGAGCAATGGTGTGGTGACATTAATGGGATTGTATGATGACCTCTTAACCTGGACTTTGCTGTCGAATGTAAAATGTCGTTTTATTTTGAGGTTAAATTATACTTAGTGTATGTTAAACTAATGTTTGGAAATGTATAGTGAAATGTGTAGGATCGAGAAGGAAATGCATAAGAGCTCACAACCCACTGCTGGGTGATTTAAGAGTTTGTTCTCTCTGTTGAATATAACTTTATAAATACAGAACCTTTACAGAGGACATCCTCTGCAGAGATAGATCAATTCAATCAGCTCGTATGCAACAGCTAGTTGGATTGTTACATCTTGGAACTGTGAGAGAAGGTGATGGTTTGGGGAGGCCTTCATCGTCAGAAGTGGGTAGATCAGGGCTGATGTGATAATGAATGCCTTTGAAGTAGAATGAACAATTGCCTCTTCAGTTTCACACTATTACTGCCACAAATATTTCACCAAAATATGTTTTTCGTTCTCATATACTGTTTCTATTAGGGGTGTAATGTTGCATCATTGCATCCATCAAAATACATTCTTAGGCTCACAATATATGCATCGAATAATGTGTGTGTGTGGATACATTTGTATTATTATTAGATGGCGTCATTTGGTATTGGGTGGATGATTGCACTTGAGAATTGTGAGTGATAGCGGCAGCTTGGCGAGGTGTTTATCCTGCAGTGGATTGACCATGGCTGACGATGATGAGGATACTTTGCATATGATTCGTTTGTATGACCACTTCGGCCACGAGAGGCAATACAGTGCACCACATTGCAAAAAAATAATATTTCTTAATGAAATTGCAACCCCCTAATCATGACAATTGATGAATTTGCAAGGGGGAAAATCATTATAGGTCTGGTACGTAATCTCACTTGCCAGCCAGGGCATTTGTTATATATTGGCGCAGCACACACATTTTATTTCGCTATGTCGGTACAAAACATTAATCCATTGAGTGTGTATGGAGGTAACGTCTTTCAAGACTGCATGGTGGAAGGGAATTAAATTTGTCATGCAAAATGGAGCAGTTGATCCATGCTTATAAGGCAAAAACTCTGCATGCACAAGTTCCCTTAGTATAAATGTATTCATAATGCTGTACTGGTGTGATGGTCTAGCACACGGGCAGATTGCAATCCATAGGTTGCCAACGGAGCCTTGGGATCTACGGATGAAATGCGCCTTACAACGGTAAATTATTATTTTTATTATTCGGGGTCACCGGTTAGATTCGATCTCCCGGCGCGGCAGTCGAAACGTAACTTTTGGACAAGTACACAGCCCGAGTACAAATGCAAAAGAAAACCATTTTTCCTGAAGAGCAATGCTGTCCTCTTGTCTTAGGCCATCATCACAACAAATGTGCACAAATGTGACCAACTATTTCCGCCGTGATGCAGTTTTCTCATCATTTACAGATTTTATTGCAATTAAAACAACGGGAAAGTTTATTACCTCCCCCCCCGCAACATCCCCCCCTTCCCTACGCCCCCCTCCCTCACATCTGTCCACCGGGCAGTCTAAAATGGGTGCACAATGTGAGTCGATCGGCAGGTCGCGCGTGGGTTGGGAGGAAGTGTGGGTAACTCCCGCATATTCGAACACATCTTGCCCAGCGTGGATGAGTAGGTCAAGCACCCTCTGGATGGGGCTCTCTCGTGCTCCCCTCTGGTGGCAACTGCAGGGCTGCATCTTTGCCTCGTCCCCTTCTACATTGGTGCATGAAGTTGGGGCGGTGTGACCGCAGTGGTACTTACGATGGGGTCCGCCTCTCGATCCATGGCGATCACTGCACGGATCACGGTGCGTAGCAGCTGTTCCATTATGTATTGAATTTGCTGCAGCACGGGACCCTGGGAAGAGATGGACGCGGGCGTGAACGTAGCAAAATCCCTGCTCAGAAACGTTTGCCCCATTAAGCGCGACACCGATTTGGCTTGGAAGATATTCTTGCTTGCCACGGGAAAAAATTTGATTTTGATGCAAAGGAAATTGCAACATATTAACAAACATTTTCTATTGGCTTTGTGCCATACAATCAACTTATTTCATATGTTTAGCATCTAATTCGTGGAGTTGTAAAAACCCGTAATATTCTTCCGTAACAATTCAATTTCAAATTATTTTGATCGACCTTAGAAATGTAATGTTAAGTTTCTGCGAGTAACGTGGTGATCAGCTATAGCTCCAATGTACGTATTTGACAACTAATGTGCATCGTTTTTGTAAAACAATTCAATACATAACCATTTCGATGGACTTCACAAATGCAACATTATCAAGTCTGGCAGCGGGGTGACTTTTTTTCACATTGGATTTCTCTTGTGTAGCATTTCTTAGTGAGGGAAAGCGTAAGCTTGTCAAGGAACAATCCTCCATGGAAAAAATTGGGTTTTGTAAGAACTTTGAAAAAATTGGTGTCTGGTCTGTCAGCACGAAAAATCAGGTTAGCAGGGTTGGGATCCTTTTCCACGAGAGGGATAACAGTTCAGACCCAGTCAATTTCAGTTTAACACGTAGGCTTTCGCGACCAATATTCATAATAAAGGTTTTTGGGTTAGATCGCGTTATTTATAAATGTGTCGTAACCCTCCACCACCCGACATGGCCAATCAGCAAAATAAAGTGTCACGTTGACAAAAGACAATTAGTTCACTACTTTAGCCCACCAGTCAATTTCAATTGAACTGGGAGAGCACCTCAGCCGGAGCAACCTATCCAAATAAAAAATTACGGAAGGATTGCTGCATTCTATTTTCTAAATGTGCAGCTCAAAGCACCGTGCTTGAAGGATGAAATGGTCCGATAATTATAAAAGCATTGGCTCTGTAAATTAATACGGTTATATATACTCTCTATGAAATCTCTTTCTTCAAAGGTAATAGATTATTCTATAATGAGGATAATTTAATAAAATCGCAATCCAATATCAGGTATGGAAACCCTATTTGAATATATTTTTTATCATGCCCAATGCTGCATTACCCATAACTATATTGTATATATTTGTATATATTGTATATTTGTATATATTGTATATATTTGGCAAGCTATACTATTCTAAGGAGCAATATGTAAAACAATAACTCTGCTGATTTTCCATGTACAGTACACATCTTGGCAATGCACTGCTTTTATTTTGCAACTATTCCATATTAACCGAATGAATGCAGTTATTAAAACGATAAGAGCATGTGGAGGATATGTAATGACACATACAAAACGCTATTCATGTATTGTGTGCATAGATATAGAATATATAGGGGAATTAAAATGTTGTCTTCCCGGGTGCCAGTCAAAATTCAAGTTTGTAAAATTCAAGATCAAGCTTCCTGGTTGTATTGACCTGGTTGAACTGGTTAAACGGAAGAACTGTCAATTTCAAGACAATACCTCGTCGTGTATTGCATAACATGCAATACACGACGAGTCGTAGTGTCATGACACAGACACAGAGAGGAGGAGGAGGAAGAGGACCATGAGCAATGTGTAGTAAATATGAACAGATTAGAATGAGAATCCAAAAAGTAACAAATTGAGAGGATGGGGTGTTCCAAGAAAACTGAAATTGCATTTTTTTCCATTTACATATTGTCTTGTGCCCAAAAGTATACCGTACATCCCTAATATTTAGAATATTCTGGATATTTTTGTGCATAATGCATAATCTTTTTTAAACAACAACATATCTGTTAAATTAATATTCTCATTCTAAACTGTGGAATTAAAAGTTTGCTATTTTCTCTTGGGGTTACATCAATTAGTTCCATGCTGCACTGTATTCATATTAAAGAGAACAAAGAACTCTCCTTTTAAATTAAAAAAGCTAATTTAGTTACCTTCCTTTTTTCTATTCAATGGAAAATGACATTTTTATTACCTTTATTTTTCTCTTCACAACTTCCTTTCCTTTCCCCTGCTGTGCAAAATATTGCAGCTATAAACTATTTCTAGTTGTTTCCAAATGCCAGAGAGCCACAGACTGTTCTCTATCCTCTGCAAAGGTAGCCTTTGAGCTAGAACATTATTTTGTTTTATGTTCCTTGGTGAATAAGCCAAATAATTAAATGGAAAGCTTCGTGGATTTTAAATAAAGACAATTTAAAAAAACGCCATTTTGTTTAGAACCTAATTAATCCTTTGGGCTATAAACTGAGCATGTTAATTACATGAAGATTAAATTGAGGAAACGGGCAAATGCACAAGGCTTGTTTTTAGAGGAGGCACGGGGTGGCTCAATTGGCCATTTGTATCTGACGGTTCACCTGTAAATAACGATGACTGTGACTCGGCAACTGCGGAGAATGTACCTTTTTAATTTGCTCTGCTCGACAAAATTCACCCAGAATAAACGATTTTGATGAAGAATCCCGTTTAATGTACTGGATGACATTCCCAGGCGGCTAATGAAATACAATTATTTTTTAAATAACTTTTTTCATTCGGAACAAATTATTTTTAGATGAAAAAAAAACAACCAAAATAAAAATACAATGATGGTAATACTTGAATGGGTAATAACTCATTTATTATTAAAAGCAATGCTGAAATTGTATTCACAGATTGACGTGGGCCAGCTCTGTATGTGGGACATCCAACTGAGTGGCCTTAGGAGTATGCAGGTGGGTTGGCTGTCTCCTCATTTGGTGTTCCCTATAAGGAGTGGTCTCCATAGAGAATATCAAGGTCAAGCATACCGATCTTGAGTCCAAAATATGATTTAAAGCTATGCTGTGGTTCTTTCGGTAAAGTCACGTAGATATACAAAAATAAAAACAATTATATAATAAAAATATAGTGAATAAAAATATCACGACGTTTCGGTCGCAACACAAGCAACTGTCTTCAGGTGAAAAAGAGGGGGAATCTGCTGAGGCAGGCTGTTTATAAATGTTTAGAGATGGGCGAGGCAGCTAATGTTAATGTAGGAGCGAGCAGGAGAGTGGCGAGTAGGAGAGAGAAATTTGCTTGTAAATGTGAGCTTGGCGAGGGCCGAGCTCGGCTAGGGCCCTGAAATTGCACCATAAAACAACAAAATCACATATCATGTGCCGCCCTTAGTTAATCCACTGCTGGATGAAGGCTTCCACGTGCCACTTTGGTGATGAGTGTGGTTTGTCTATACTTTCATGCACTGCTGAGGAGGTGCGCAGGATCGGTTGAGATGTCACTCGCCGCTGATGTTACCCATGGCAGGGAATCAATCAATCAAACGGCTGGGTTTGTAAAGCAGTGCATGACCCGCCTTTCGCATTATCATAAATAAGTGTAACTTGACTGCTCAAATGTTTCTGCAATAATTTATGACAGTGCTTATTTTTTTATTCCCAAAATGTTTCCTAGAGGTCATTGGATGAATAACTTAGGCACGACACAACTTAACATTTAATTTAATGTTATGAATTATCTAACTAAAAGCATATACGTACTTAAGTTTTAACGCATTTTCTTTACAGTAAAACAGTTAAATATATTTGGTAATGTATCAAATAACTTTAGTCATTATTTACATTGTTGAATATAATGTACATGAACATGATTTTTTTTAATAACAAACATTATAAGGCTTTCCATATTTAACTCTGTAAATGCATGATTGAATGGCCTTTCAAACATTCTCAAGCAAATGACATAACCTTTTGGTGAAAGATCACGCCAGTAATACAAGTTTAGAAATATTTGCTGTCAATTTAAGGTCACACATAAAATAACGGGAGGACCATTGGTATACATGTTGAGTCTACATCAATAATTAATCCTGTATAACCAGCCATTGTTACTATTTGTTTATAAACCTCAACAGCGCAACCATGAACAAGTTATACCACTATAATGTGCATTATTACCAGTTAAGGGCCACATTTTAAATAGTCTCTTTTACCTTTGATGAAGCATTAGAATTCTTATAGAATACATCAAACTGGATATAAATGGAACGGGTACAAAAAACACCAATGGAGTGGTTGGCATCCCCGTGACACCAACACTGGACCCGTGATCACCCTGGGACTCATTGGCACCAGTCTTGGTGGCGCTGATACCCGATTGTTGAAGACTTCTCCTTCGTAGTCATTGTCTAGTGCTATCCTCTTTTCAGAGGCCTGCTGGCGGTGTGGCAGTGTGGCACCTCTCTCCGCTTCCCTCTGGCCATTGCTGTTGATCTGCATCCCCATCTGTTTGCTCCCAGCATCGCCTTCTTGGCCTAGCTCAGGATCCCCGACCAGGTGCACATCCTTGTGTAGTGGCATTTTCTAGACAACTTAAAGATTGTGTGTGGTCACAGACTGCTCTATTTACACCTTCCTGCATTTGCCTATTCTGTTTTTATTATTGCTGTGTTTCTTATTCCTTTTGCCCTGTTGATTTGCTCCGTTGTTTTAGCCTGCATTTTGTAAGGCACTTCGTGATGCATTGCAGCAAAGTACCATATTAAATGCACATCATCTATAACCTTCTTCTTGGTTCTTTCGGTAAAGTCACGTAGAATGGAAATAAAATAATACAAATAAAACAATAAAATAAAATTCTCACGACGTTTCGGCCACAACACAAGTAGCCTTCTTCAGGTGAAGGAACAGAACTGTCGGGACGACAGCGCTTCAATGAACGCTGCTAAGATTCGCAGCGTCTTTTAAGCTAGGTGGGAGGAGCAGAGCGCCTTGACAAAGGAGTTTACATATCAAACAGGAGAATTTAGCATTGAAATAGCTGTGTTAAAGTGTTGGATCAGCAGGGTGTTAAAGTCATAAATTAGCATGTAACTGGGAGATTAGCATGATGTTAATGTGAGGGATTAGCATGTGACGTCACGGAAATAGCTATGTTAAAGTCAAAGTTTACATATCAACAGAGG